GGACCAGAAGGCTACTATGCAGATGGAGAATTTCTCTCAGGTTAGTTCTTATTAAATAGGGAACCACAAGTGCCCATTGCTGTCAGAGCAGCCACTGCTCAGCAACCTCGTCAGTAAAACTGGAAGAGAGATCAAGCGCAGATGAGATGCGCAGAGCAAACTAACACCTGGTCTGCACAGGGCCCTGGAAGCTCCTGAGCTACAAGCCTGCAGGGGCTCAGCACAGACTTCACAAGGAGGAAGTTTAAATGGCTTAAAATCTTCTTTGTGCTTTCTCAGTTTACGACAGCTCTAGTCCATACACTTTCCCTTAGCACAACTTGTACAGCTTGCAGTGCTCTCTTGGTGCTGCAAGAGCTCACTGGACTTATCCCTACCCAGAGTTACTGCCACCCTGGAAAGCACTCAGCTGTACACTTATTTTCCAGTGCCGTGGGGAATGTCCCCCTTACTATCTAGCTCTTTTTTTATTTCATCCTGCCCCTTTTATTCAATGTGATGGAGGAGATATGATGCGCACAGACACCCACATTCTGGCTGTCTGCTTTACAACATCATTGGTTTATTTATTTCTGAAAAAACACACAGAGAAAGATTAGTGTTGTTGCAGGGAAAAACTGCTCAATTCACATAATTTAAGGTAAATCAGGATCAAAGAAGTTTATTGATTTATTAATAGCATGTAATTAACTGGCAATCAGTGATCGATACATCCAACATCTTTATCAAGCATAAGAGAGAAACCAAAATATGAGACACTTACAAAAGTAAACATAAATTCAAGAAAAGCCTTCCATAAGAATCATAGAATCACAGAACCATATAATAGCCCAGGATGGCAGAGATCCACAAGGATCATCAAACCCAACACCTGGCTCTGCAAAGGACCACCCGAAGTCCAAAGCCTGTGTGTGAGAGTGGTGTCCCAGCATCCCTTGAACTCTGGCACTTGGGGCTGTGCCCACTGCCCTGGGCAGCCCATTCCATGCCCACCGCCCTGTGCTGCAGCCCCTGTCCCTGACCCCCAGCTGCCCTCCCCTGACGCAGCTCCATGCCGTTCCCTTGGGCCCTGTCGCTGTCACACAGAGCAGAGCTCAGCGCTGCCTCTCCACTCCCTCACAGGGAGTCAGCAGCTCCTCCTTCAGAGTTTTGACACCCTCCTCTCACATCCACATGGTGATGTGCCCCCTGAGGGTGAGGAGGCACCCTGAGGCAGTCACCCTCCCCTCCCGTGTGCACTGTAAACCACATCATCAGTACACTTGTGACATCCAGTGAGGAGGAGGCAGCACCAACCCTGAGGGAGCTGAGTACAAAGCATGGAATCTGTCTTTGCATGTTACTCATTTTTAGGCACATTTTCGGGCTGGCACCTTCTTTTCTTCACAAGTGTCTTTGTAGGACCCTGGATACTCCTTAATCTACTTAGTGGCCATCTTCTTCCTCTTCAGGCTTATAAAGATTTAGGCAAATAGTTTGGGGTACCCCACTTACACACAGCGTTTACATTCACAATCTTCTCCATTGGTTGTTGTTATCCCAGCCACTTTGCCAAGAGGAGGCTGTGTGAATCCCTGCACAAGGGTGAAAGAACCTCGCAGGAGTTTAAAGACCAGCGAAGGAAAAGCAAAGACATGCAGGGTATCACAAGACAGCCTCTGAGCTGCTAGCTTTGAAGAGCCGACCTCCAACCAAGTTCTTAAAGTTGTTTTCCTACACAGCCCCAGGATGAAGAAGGATCAGTATAGAGATGCAAAATTAACCCTTTCTGAGAAGTCAGACATGGAAACATTGCTCAGGAGGAGACGTTTTAGATTGAATCAGGTATTCACAGTCACCTAATGATAGGCAACACTAAGAGAGCTATTAGCCTTTTCCTTGAATAAACACCCATGTAGAATATATTTTTAAAAGCTTTATTACAGTTGTGGACACAAGCAGCGGCAATGACATAGGCTTCTTGACTTGAGGTCTACCTGTTGCTGGAGAAAAAACTGCAAATATCTAACCAGCCAGCCTTGCTGGGTGTGTGTACATGGCACGCTGCTGTGGGAAGTCCTCATTCCATCCCAGAAAAATGAAAAGCACAAGTCCAAATGCCTGAAGGCAGGCCCAAAGGAGGAACAAGGAAGACAGCAAGGCATCATATAGGTTAGTGTCTGTGGCTCAGTATTATTGGCCTGGGGGAGGATTAACTATCCTTCTTGGATATCCAAGCTTTCACTTTCAGGTTGGATATCAGGGAAAAGTTCTTCACTGAGAGAGTGGTTGGGCATTGACACAGGCTTCCGAGGGAAGTGACTGTGGCACTGAGCTTGTGAAGTCCAAGAAGTGCCTGGACAATACTCTCAGTAATGTGGTCTGATTTTTGGGTGTTCCTGCAGGGAATGGCCATAAACTTGAGTGTAGGAAGTTCTGCACCAATATGCGAAGTAATTTCCTCACAGTAAGGGTGACAGAGCATTGGAACAGGCTGCCCAGGGAGGTTGTGGATCTCCTCTGGAGATATTCAAGACCCACCTGGATGCCTACCTGTGCAGCCAGCTGCAGGGGGCCTGCTTTGCAGGGAGGTTCAACTTGATGACCTCCAGAGATCCCTTCCAGCCCCTACAATTGTGTGATTCTGTGAAGCAGGAGTTCACAGGAGTAGATGATCCTTATGAGTCCCTTCCAACATTTGTATTCTATGTTTTTATGATTCACTCACTTTCACTGCTGCCATTCTTTACACTGAGTACAGTGCTTGCAAACTAAAATATTTTGCCTTTCAATTCTAGATGAATTCACTTTCTATTTAAGATAACATATCCATATTAATACTAACATGATATTTTAGTAAAACTTCTAGTAACATCTGCATTAGAAGTACACTAAGTTCTGCATCATTTATGCATGGAGTGAAAGTTTGACTTGCAACAGATTGCTATTTTGATAGGAATACCTTCCGCTAAAGAACCAGTCTTCAGGTTATTTTTCAAGTGCTAGTCCAAATCTATGTTATAAAATGTTTATATGTGTACTTCAGAGCATAGTTATAGTATAGCTGTAAAAGGAAAAAAACCAAACCACCCCACAACTGGTGTCTTTTCGCATACTTAAAGTGTCAGAAGCAATTTGCTGTTCTGTCACCCTCAGGCTGTGCAAAGCTAACCCTCACAAGCAGTTGCACGCTGCTAAGTGCACATATACTCACCAGTACAAGCCCCACTGCTTGCCTCCACACCTCACGCAGTCACAGACTGTCCCCAGAACCTCAGAGCGAAGCAGAGTGGTGCTTTCACCTTAAGGATGTGAAAGGAGATGTTCCTGTGACAATAAAAGCACTCCTAAGTGCACCACCAATCACAAATCATTTTCAAAATTGCTCCTGGCTTTTTAATTTCTTTCATTTGTAGAATTTACAGCACAGTGACATGCTGGAATATTTTTTCCATGGTCTGCCCATCATGTGGTGCACCACTGGCACGACACCAGGCTTCAGCCTATATTAATCTATACCTCTGTAATGATCATTTGTGTTTCTTAATAAATGACTGATAATTGTGTGTGTAACTCTGGAAGTGATTAAAACTATCATCAGTATAGGGTGCAGACTGTTTCAGCTTTTTTTTTTTTTTTCATGGATATTTGCCATTCTTCCTTTTTAGTATTGTTATCACTGAAACAAAAAGCTTCCTGTTTGAAAATTATTTATGGAGCGTTGCAGAGCTTTATAAGATTTTCATACAGTGCTCTTTGAGCTGATATCCTTTTGGGTTAGTGTGTACTCTCAATTTCAGCTCATGGATGAGAACAACTTTCTTTTCATAGTTTTCAGCTCAAGAAATGTCTTTGAGTATTGCATCTTTTGATGTGCTCCATCGTGTTGGCTTTTGGGGAAGGCTGTGCAGAATCACAGAAGCTGGAGATGGAGCATCCAGACCATCCAGTGTCTGTGACCCTGTAAAGTCCTGTGCCTTCTGAACAGTTATCTCATCTTCAGCCAAGTCCCAGCTGAGGGGCTTCTGCTGCTTCCACAGTGCGCTGCCCAACAGCCTCACCTAACCACTTATAGAACCATTCTTTGGTACTCACCTCCAATTTTCCACTTGTTATTTTTGCCTGGTGCATCTAATAATTTCCCAGTGTTTTGTAGCAAACCATTTTCCTCCACTGTTAGAATTCACATTTAGCTTTTATTATAGATCTCTACCAGCATACTATTTCCTATCTGCATTAATATGACATGTAATGGCACTAGTCATGAACCACAACACTTTACAGCAAGTGATGTGCAAAAACAGGGCAGAAAAGCAATCTCTGCCTCAATGAGTTAATTGTTAGGATGAAATAAGCTTACATAATGCACAACAAGCAACAAGGAAGAAATATTAGTTTCAAAGCCAAAGCATTTCAAAGTTACAAAATATTAAAGTTGCCCATGCCACTGCATCTCAGCCTCTGTAAATGCCATTTTCAGTGACATTGTTCTCTGATTTGTTGTTCTTCCAGCCATTACCGAAATTTAAATTCACAGGCAAGAGATCTGGTCAGTGAGCAATTTCCTTTTGGTCTCAGTATTGCTCCTTTTATGATGAGGCACTTTGTTTCCAATGAGTTCACTCTAGCTCCTCTTGTTTGGATCACCCTGCTGTTGTTCAGCTGCCAGTTCTAAGTTCTCATCTTCTGTGGCATCTTATCCCCATGCCTTTCCTTTTCCTTTCCCTGCTTGCACTTGCACTCACTGTTTCCTTTAGTTCCCATTAGCTCTAATCTGCACTGGACTTACTGTGCCAATGTCTTTCCCTCTGTTCCAACTTTCAGCTGATGTTTGAGTTTTGCTGCATCCATCCTGCACTGCTCCTCTTAGCACCTTTCATTGTATAAATGCAGCAGAAGGCAAGTGGCGAGGACAGGGGCCAGTCTCTCCTTTGCCATGGCTCATGCTCTGAAGTGTTGGAACTCAGCACAGTGAAATTTTTAGGTATGGGCTGAAAAATCCCATTCCACAATATGTTTTCTTTTTTTTTTTTTTTTTCCAGCTTTATTTATTTATTTTTGTTTGTTTGTTTGTTTTTGTTTTGAATAAAGTTCAGCTGAGGAAGATATCTACCTAGGAAATTGTAGTCTATACAACTAGCTTGTCAGTATCACAGCTGAAGCAAAATGGAGCCTGTAACATTTACGATTCTTAGTCTAGCCTCTGCCTATAATACTTGTAGTTCTTAAGAATTCAAAGCTCTACATGTGCATTGCAAGTGCTCTTTGCTACTTTTTCCTCAAAACATATCCTATTGACCAACTGTAGTGTGTTCAAACATGCTAGCAGCAACTGACTCACTCATCTGCCTCACCTGTCATACATGTGTCTAAAAATCTTACCAGCTCTGAGTTTCTGAACATTGTCAGAAAAACCCAGAGCTCTGATGTATTCTAAGGTGTATTCTAAGGTGCTGTGCATTTTTGTTCTGTATTGCACCACTTTTACACCTCACTGAGTTTCAGGAGAGCAATACAGAAGAAAATTAGGCCCCAAATATATATATATATCCATTTGTGTTCTAAAATTATCTAACACACGGCTCTACAGCCCTCTAATGGAGAAAATGGCAGAGCCGTTCAGGAAAATGAAACAGAATTATTGCTTAACAAAGAAATCTGCCCGGTGGATACAACTCTGAAAACACATGTTCATTTAGGAGCAGATGGTTATCTTCCTGCAGAAGTGACTTCCATTTATTAATTTATTAATTTACTCTGAGCAGAAGGTCCTGAGTTTTCAATGAGGTGCAGAGGTGGGCAACGAATGGCACAAGATCAACAGAAGGAGCACAGGTGAAGGCTACTGGAGACCTCAGTCCCGCACCTTGCCCACAGTCTGCTTGGGGCAGTCACTGCCACTGGGACATCTCTCTCAGTATCTCACAGAGACAGGTACACTGAGACTGGACAGAGCTGATATGAGCACAGTGTGTGGCCTTAAATACCCGCAGAACCTCTCTGAACACTTTCTGCAGCACACTAAAACAGCCTGATCTGATTGTAGTCCAATGCAAGGCTTTTCACAAGCAGAGGACTCTCATGCATTGCTAACGTACCTGCTAAAACCCAAGCTGGCTAGGTGAAGATGTTCCAGGTTAAGCCTCTGTAAGGACAAGCTGCTCCTACTTGTTGTCACTTCTCATTAGGAAGATTCTGGTTTGCGATCTTCCCTGCCAATTACTGTATGAGCCCAATACAAGTTTTGAAAGTTGGGACACCGCTCTGCCTTCAGCCTGGCAGGGATAGCCGCTAGGATGTCTTCTACTCCTGTCTCAGCTGCTTCCTCATTAGCTTAAGTGTCTGAAAGAAATACAAGTTGTGGGAATTTGTTTCTGAAACACTGTAGGAATATGTGGGAACAAGCCGAACTACCCATGCTAGCACAATTTCCAACTGTTTATTTACAGCTTCTTTGACTTTAGACATGCGCAGGCCAGGCCACTTTTCAGATCACAATTTCAAGGAGCCATCATGAAGCACATTTAGCAGAAGAGAGCTGTGACTGTTTTATGGAATGGCGCTGCCATTTTCGTAAGTACTTGCCATCTCCAATGATCAGTGTGGTTTGGCAGCCATGTGGGGAAAAATATGTTTGTGTAGATGTTCCCTGCTCCGCTGTCGTCAAACACTGACACAGCTTGCTTAAAAGGGCTGAAGAAACTAGAAAAAAGTCCCTGGTGCCCAAATCTATAGTTAGAGGGGCATTATTGGATAACGTGATCCTAGCAGGCTGCAGGGTTTATTTTTTTTTTAAACATTAGAGGACTCATCAACCCTGAAGGGACTGAAGGAGAATGGAGTGGATGAAACTATCTGGATATGCAGCACCGCAGGCTTAAAGCTCCAAGTCCCAGAGCTTGGCACACGCAGTTGCATCTGCTTAACGTCCCTGCTGCTTGTGGGCTTCACCCTGAGAATTGCTGCAGCACCGCACCGCATAACATGCCCCCACACTCACATTAGGCTTCTCTGAGCGCTCAGAGGGAATCAACAAAAGTTCCCCTTTTCCTTTACAGTTCGTTCACTTTCCGCCTAATGAAGGTGGAATATAAAACGCTGAAGGAAAAAGCAGCTTTCCCCCTACAGTAGAATTTCCTTTACAGTTATTTTTAATCTGACATCCGTTTTAACATGCACTCACACACTACATTTATTTTAAATTTTTCCCTCCCCTGTGTTTTATTATTTACCTCCTGTTCCGAAGAGATACAAAAGATTACAATTCTGTGAAGCAGTAACAGCAGTGGTGACAATCTCTCTCTTACTTCTTGCGACTTCTCTTTTTGCCCCTCTGTTTTCCCTTTATCTACATCTTCCTGCCACTTGCCTCCCAAAGGCCTTGTTACAGTTGCTACCAGATGGGGCAAAGGCATTTGAATTTTTTGGAATTGGACTGATCTGTGCTAACTAGAACATAAAAACCTTCTTGTTAGAGCCTGGATGGAATAGTTGCTCTTTGTTCCAGTTCCATTCAGGCCCTTCAGAACATTAAAGCAAGAAGCCGTGTTCTGGGTCAGACAACACCTGTGCTGTGAGGAAAGACCAAGACCCCACTGAAGCTGCAGAAAGCAGAAAGAAACCCGACAGCCAGAGCTCTGACATGACTCTGAATGAATGTTTCATTTCCCTTGGAAATGAAGATAACATCCTTAATCAACTTACATGTAATTAAATTAAATGTTGGAGAAATGCATTCTCCAGCTTCCCCTCAGAAGCTGGTTGCTCAGGTCTGACGTTGAGGGGCAAAAAAATATTCTCAATGGATTAGCAGTTATCACTACAGGCAAGCAGCTTTAGCACTAACTGGTCCTACAGCCATGCTGGTAACCCCTGAAGCAAGCCACAGAATCATAGAATAGTTTGGGTTAGAAGAGACCTCAAGGATCATTGAGTTCCCTGCCACAGGCAGAGTTGCCAGCTGCTAGATTAACTGCTAGATCAGATTGCCCAGGCCCCATCCAAACAGGGCTTAAGCACCTCCAAGAATGAGTAGCATCCACAACCTCTGTGGGTAACCTGTTTCAGCACCTCATCACTCACTCAGAAAATAAATTTCCCCAGCATCTAATCTAAATCTCTTTTCCTCTATTTTAAAACTATTCCCCCTTGTCCTATCACTTTCTATCCGTGTAAAAAGTTGATTTCCCTCTTGTTTATAAACTCCCTTTAAATACTGGAAGGCCATAGGCCCCACAGTCTTCTCTTCTCCAGGCTGAACAAGTCCAGTTCCTTCATCCTGTCTTTATAGGAGAAGTGTTCTAGCACTTAGATCCTTTTCATAGCCCTCCTCTGGGCCCTCTTTAAAAATTCTACATCTTTCCTGTGCCAGGGGCCCCAGACTTGGATGCCTGCTGGACTCCAACTGGGTCCTCACTAATGCAGAATAGAGGGGTACAATCCCTTCCTTCTCCCTGCTGGCCTCCCTCCTCTCCTGATGGAACCCAGGATACTGCTGGCCTTCTGGGCTGCAAGCGTATCCTGTTGGCTCATGTGAAGTTTTTCATCAACCAGGAACCCTGAGTCCTTTTTAGCAACGCTACACTCAAGGAGTTCTCCCAGTCTGTACAATGTCTGGGATTGCCTCAAGTGCAAAACCTTGCACTTGGCTTTGTTGAACCTCATCAGGCTCACAAGGGCCCACCTTTCGAGTTTATCAAAGTCCCTCTGGGTGGCATCCCTTCCTTCTGCTGTACCAACTGCTCTGCCTTGGTCAGCAAGACCCCGGGCTTTCTTGTGAGGCCAGCCAGCTAGAAAGTGTGCCTTGTCAGATACGACCTGTAGTGCATCTGCTCTCTGGGCTAAAATGGCAATGGGAATCCCTATACTGAAGGATCACCAGCCCAGCCCTGGCATTGGCTTTTGCCAAGACACAGGATTTTCTCTAGTTTGTTTGCTTGCTTGCTGCAAATTAGTAAGTATGTGATAATTTACGTAAGTCTTTGAATACAAACAGATCTCATTGCTACTGGTGAAATGGAAAAATGAGCTTATCAAGTTTTCCTGATTTTCTGGGCAAAACCTCATCCACCAGGGGGTTTGGTTTTATACAGCACCATATTGTTGAGATACTACATTTATCTTTATTAATTGAACCTCTGAAGCTCCTTTGTCTACTCCTCCCTTAGAGAAAGCAAGACTTACAAAAACAAGTGTAATAAATTCCACAACCACTTCCTCCATTTGCTAACATCTTTCAAAAAGTTGCTTTCCTCTCAGCTAAGGAAGCAATTCTAAATTGATGCTTTTACAGTTCAGTGTTTTCAAACACCTCCAATGAACTGGGAGATCTGAAACTGCTATACCTCAAGAAAGCTTTGCTTCCAGAAGATCACAACTTATGCAGTTTCCAAGAATTAGCAACCCACAGGATGCTAATCCTAGTGCTCAAACTAGAGCCACTTAAAATCACTAGACTCATCAGGAATGGCTAGAGCATCTTGTTGGCATCCCTTCTTGCAGAGTTAAATTTTATTAAAGGATATTAAAACAATTTTGTCATGCTTTCCTTTGTTACTGTAGGTCCTTGCAGAAAGTGTCTGTAACTTGTCTGGATCAGAGGAAGGATCTCTACAAAATAACTGGCTGGGACCTTATGATCACTTGCTTACTCTTTCCTTTTAGGATGTGAAAGGACTGTCACCTTTTTTGACGATTCTTTCTTTCCAAGTCTTACTTCTCAATTTACAGTGCAGGCTGTCTAGGATTCTAATAAAAATGGTCAACTGGTAGTTTCAACAATGGTGTCTTCATATACTACAAATACTTTTATCCTTTGTTGTCCTATTAATAAGAACTAGCCAGATGGACATTTCCCTGTCTTGTTCTCCTGGGTAGGTTACATCTAATTAAATGCAATTCCCTCCCTCTACTCCTACTGCACACTTTATGTATCATCCAGATGTCAGCACTGGTAATTTCAGCAAAAGTGCACCAAGATTTGGATAAAAGTTGCTGTTCCTTTTTTTTTTTTTTTTTTCCTTTTTCCCCAGAGGAGGCAGGGAGCCAGTTTCAACTGAGCAAAATAAAATTAAACGTAGATCAGCCTTTTCTGCCTCAGAAGCATGTGCTATTGTGTATAACGTATGTTCTCTGCTTCAGAAAGGAAATGAAAGAATGAACTTATACTACTGATGAAATAAAGATATCAAAGTATTACTTGCCCCAGCTGATACGTGCACTTTGAATATAATTACTATTTAATATCTTTGTTTCCTGCAAACCAGGGAAAAAAGCTTACCCCTTCTCCCAGTTCCCTCTTCTTGTAAATAAGTTGATACAGGATATTCTAGATTTGCAGTTTCTACTTGACTTTCCTCTTGAATTTATTCGCTTATTTGCAAAATGAGGTAGTCAACAAAATGAAGCTATTTAAAATCCTAAATGAATAAGTGTTACAAAAATAATGATTAGTATACTAGACTGACTTCCACAAAACATATGTTATACTCTGAAATTTATTTATCTAAATATAGATGTATTAATACAGATAAACAGGCATAATTGCCTGCTTCTTTTTTAAAGGCCTGAAGCAGAGTGCTAAATCTGAACTTTTTTTGAAGGCTATTCAGCAGTGCTGTGCTGCCCCCTTCCTGGTTACTGATTTCAAGTCCCCATCTCCTTTCATACACTTTGTGCAGCTGTTATGACCAGCTGCAACAACCTAGATAAAGTCTCAATTCCTCTGTGACAATGGGAAATAAATAACAGCCAACGGTCAGCCATGAGGGGAAGAAATGGAAGACTGCAGAGGAAGTGCTGGTCAGGGTTAAAAGCACCATTGCAAGTACAAACTCAAAAGACCACACTGAGAACGTTTCTAGTTCTCCATCAGTGGGGACATATGCTCTGCAATACCAGCCTCCAACTTGAGCTTGGAATGCATGTCAGACCATTCCTTCCAGCTCTAGCTGTCTCATGGGTCAGCACTAGCATGAGCCCCAGTACTCTCTTGGCCTGCTCAGCCTCAGCCTCCCCTCGTCATGACCTACCAACCCAAGAGCCAAGCTTCACCTCAGTCTGGGGCTCTCAGCATTATCATGAGTGATGTAGGAGTGCCAGGCTGCAGCCCTCACTGCTTCCTAATGGACTTGCACTGTTGCTAGCTGTCTCTTGAATGGGACAAGAAAAAGACAGCCAGTCACCCAGTAACGCTTTGCCATCTGCTTATTCCTCAGGCTGTCTAAGATTCTTCAGAAGGCCAAATCTCTCCATGCTGTGTTTCACAGAGCGACTCAGGTGGCTTAGCCAGATAAATAACTGAGTTATTATCTTTATGAAGTCAAGATCTTTTTGTAATAAATGCACCTTGCAGCTTGATTTATAGCAAAATCCTCCTCCTCTTACTTCCCTGATGAGACCTACTTAAGTCAGTGAGACTAGTCGTGATGATAATTAAGATTTTAGTACAACTCCGGTTAGTGAGTAGAATGTAGCTCTAAAGTAATGAATCTACCAGCTCCAGTCTGATATTCAAAAGGTATTGATGATTTAGGTATTATTCTTAATGTCCTCTGAGAAAAGTGCTTTTTCATTAAGGCTGAAACTCTGTATAGGACACAATTCTTATAAATTACAGAAATGCTCTTAGAAGGGAAAAGTTAAAGTTCAGATAGCATAGCATAGAAACCTGTAAACTGATACTCACCCCCCCCTACATTAAAATGCAAAGATTTGCATGACTGTGTTTAAAAATGACAGGAGACAGGAATGGGAGCTTCTAAGCAAGACAGACTAAAATTTTTAAGAGTGAAATGCCTGAAAATAGCCTCCTGAATGCATAGTTAGGCATCTATATAGAGGCTGCTTGATTTTCAGTTGTTCTGATCACCCAGAGCTCCCATTAGCTTCAGGAGCAACTGTGGATACTCAGCTGTTCTAGAAATCAAGCCACCTTTATTCACGGGTCTAAATATGGATGTCTGTGCCCAAGTTTGGGGGAAAAAATAAAAAAAATAAAAAAATAAAAAAAAAAAAAAGGTTTTTTTGCTACCAAGATTTTATAAAAGAAAGAAATAACCAAGTTTCATTTTATCAGATTACACTGCTTGAAACCGAATCAACATAACAATTAATAGTGCAACATATCCTACCAAAGATCTAGTCAGAGGTGAATGGAAAGCTGTTCCAAGATCTGTAGCTCTTAATTAGCAATATGAAACATTCTTTAGATACTTCATTTCTCAGCCTGCAAAGTGCTACCAGGACACCCAAATCATCTTCATAGTGTTTCAGTGTTGCCATTAATAAGCTTTTCAGGCTGGGCTGAGGAAGACTTTGCAAGATTAACTTTGCAAATCTGTATTAACTATTTAACTGTTTCAGAATTACCATTTTTTTCCACTTTTTGATCAAGTACAACCAGCAGACTTGAACATATTTTTAAATGCTGTAATATATGAAAAAGAGAGAATTACGCCTTTAATTCTATCAAACGCACTCAGTGGTTGGAAGACTTCTGAATGCTGCTTTTTTAAAGGCTTCTTTTATAAAAATAATCCTGAGTCGATTCTGTGTTTAAGCCATTGCCAGGTCATGTTGAAGTGCATAAGAGCCAGTCACGTGGTGGAAAATCTGCAAGAAATGAAGAATATTCGTGATGGAGTTATATATGACTGTAAATTTCAAAGTATCATGAAAGTCACAAATTAAAGGCATGTCAGAAGAAGATGATGGATATTTATTTGTGTATGTGTGTGTTCATAAAATATGATGCAGTATGCCTTCATATACTTGTTTATTTGATTTGAACTAAGAGCTCTTGCTGCCTTGCTTGGAAAGAAAAAGAAAAAAGACTTCTGTTGCTTTCAAAAACAGACAAGTAAAAGACAATGATTCTCTCCCATTGTAATCTTGGTTTGATGACTGCAGTATTATTTCTAATATTCAAAGGATTCAAAACTGTTTATGCTTTTATATGGCTCTTCACTGCCTCAGGGCTGAGTGTTTCCCTGTTTTCTGTGTTTCGCTCTTATACATATCTGTTTTTGTGAATATAACAGCTGATACATTTTATCTCACATAGTTTTAGATGACACAGCATAGCAGAGCTTTGGTCATAACTGTGGTCTTTGTGCAATCCCTGGCGGATAAAAAGGTGCCACTGTTAAGAAACCAGAACAAACTATCACATACTCTAGCTGTCATGTAAGAGCCAGCAATGATAGCAGTGGCAAAAAAAATAAGCTCACCATGCTTTGTCATAACAAGAGACATGATTTTAGGTCAAGTGAGAGGCAGAAACAGCCTGGCAGTGAAGCAAGACTGTATTACTCTCACTGCAAGAGGGAACCAGGGGTTTTCAAATGTCATCAATATTCACCTGATATCTTTGAGCTGTTAAGACTTTTCTTATAACATGTTAGTACTTCAGTTGCTAGGAAAGATGGGCAAGAGAACAGTTTCATGTTTTTCTCTCATTCAGTCCCCCAACACAGCAGATATTCTCTCATAGAACAAGAACTATGAAACTGTTTTTTTTTGTTAGAGCTAATATCACCTCATCTCTTGGGCTTAAAGGGAGTAAAGTTAAAGGGAGGGCTTAATGGGAGTAAAGTTGAGCAGCCCTAATGTTTTAGTCCTTCCTATGATACTGTTGCTTCAACTACGCTGTGTCCTTTGAGTTAGGTCCCCCACTCCAGTGAGGCAGGTCACAGGCAAACAATTCTTCCTACTGAAAACTACATGTTGCCACTGTATCTCATACACTGTCTGCCAGGAAACATAGTGATCTGCCTGCACAAAAAATGAAATCAATTAGACTTTGTAATAGGCAATTGCTTTTTCTTCCCCGGGAAATAATCAATACATAAGAAATTCTCTATCAGCAGTACCATTTGTAGAATGACAGGACTTTTTCTACAATATGGAAATACATTGTAAACAGTTGACGCAAAGGGTCTGTAATGTTTCCTGAGGGCTATTTGAACTGGCAGCAGATAGAAATGCAGGGGAGTGCACTGCTGAGTGTTAGCAAAAGACTGCATGTGTACAAATGAAGCTCCTTTGCCTACTGCACTGTGAGTCTGGCCCAGGGAATTGTCAGATGTTTGGGATACCCAAGTCCCAGAGGTCTGTAATGACAGGCCAAATTTAAACTAATACTGTTTTAGAAGTGAACTTGTTAATAATGCATGTTCTATTATCTCTTAAACAACACCAAAAAGCAAATTCTGCAAAAACAGTAAGCCAGTACATTTAGAAAGATAATTGCTTCTCTCTAAAAATCTGAAAACTATTAACAACTAACCTGTTTCTCAATGTCTTCCAACAAACTACTCGCACCAAGGCGAAAGAGCTCTGGTTTCAGCCATTCCACTCCCAGTTCCTCTTTTACCAGCATAAGCCAAGTAATAGCTTCTTTTGCTGTCCGAATGCCACCAGCAGGCTTAAATCCAACCTATATATTAAAAAAAATTGCAATATTTCATTATAGCTCCAAAAGAACAATCAGCATTTGTTGACTTGCTGTCTAAATCTGCCTGTGGTGTATATAAAAAATTCTGTTCTGGTAAATATCTGATTGTAAGCAGTGTTCGGTCTGGACTACTGCTGCAAGTCATCCATCAGGCCTCAGTCTTCACACTGAAAGACAAATTTTTTGTTGTGAGTGAAAGCAAGTGAGGGAGCAATACTTTTATACTTGTGCACTCTCTCAGGAGCTGGGTTTGACTGAAATTTGCCCGCAACACATTAGGTCAAGGGATTTGGGCAGGACCAGGGCTATTTGCAAATCAGAGAATTATAGAATGGCTTGGGTTGGAAGGGACCTTAAAGCTCATCCAGTTCAACATCCCCATCATGGGCATGATTCTACCCAGCAGCTCAGGCTGCCCAGGCCCTATTCAACTTGGCCTTGAACACCTCCAGGGATGGGGCACACACAGTTTCTCCAGGCAGCCTCACCACACTTCCAGTGAAAAATTTTCCTCTGACATCTAATCTAAATCTCTCCTCCTTTAGTTTAAAATCATCCCTCCGTCCTATCACTTTCTACCCATGTACCAAGTTGATTTCCCTCCTGCCTTACGAGCTCCCTTTAAGTACTGGAAAGGTGCAGTGAGGTCTCCCAAGAGCGTTCTCTTCTCCAGGATGAAGAAGACCAGCTCTTTGTAGGAGAGCTGTCTTTATAGGAGAGGTGCTCCAACCCTCCGACCATTTAGTGGCCCTCCTCAGGACCTGCTCCTAAAATCCCACTTCTTTCTTGAGCTGGGAGCCCCAGACCAGGACACAGTACTTCCAATGTGGCTTCTCAAGGGCAGAGTAGAGGACAATGATCACCTTCCTTGCCCTGCATGACATGCCTCTTTCGACACAGACCAGGATACTGTTGGCCTTCTGGGCTGCAAAAGCCCACTGCCAGCTCAATATCACATACTGCTCATGTTGCAATCTTACAAAAAAAAATAATCAGCAAGTATAAATGCAATTATGTAATGTCAAACATGCCGAAATAAGGCACACAGTGCAGCTGACTTGTGTGAAGAGCAATAGGAGGCAGTTGTATTTTTTAAAAATCCTAAGTGTCAGAGTAATACATAATTGGGTTGTAAATGCAAACTTATTTCGAACTTTTTCACTAAAATTTACTAAATGAAGACTAAATTAGTTCTCTCTACAAGAAATGGATTTTTTTTTTCTGTTCTACAAGAACTGTAAAACTTCCCTTCCACCAGATACTGGATATGCTTTCAGACACTTGATGAGAGATGTGTCATACTTGGTTAGGTGAACTGCCATGTCTATTAGGACACGACAGGAAAAACCTATCTTTAAGGCAAAGCATGCTTTGAATCTCATGATCCCATGAGCCAGCACAGAGACAACCTACTGCACACCCTTCTAGTTATGTGCCATTTACACATATCTCATTCTAACACAGCATTTGTAAAGCAGAGCTATCAAAATCCTGGTCAGAAAGTTTGTCACATGCATTACATCAGTTGTTGGCCAGCTACAGATTTTTAAAATACTAGAAGAACAAGTAGAATTAAGAAAAAGCTTATCTGCATTAAAGAAGAAAATCTGAACAACATGTACAGTAACACATAGCGATGCTTTCTACATTTCCTTCTGCCATACATCTTTATCTTGGTTAGTCCTTCTCTTCAGCCTCCTTGTGAAAGAATTATCATTCTGATTTCTGTATATACTTTCCTGAAAACTCACTGCCTTGATTGGTTTCTCTGTACCTTATGGTTATGACAATAGAATCTAAAATTATCTGTCATTTTAAATAAATTTGGTAATTTTAATAGTGATTTCAGGACAAACAAACAAAATAAATCCTTCTTTTAACACTGAAGTATTGTGATAACAGCGTATTTCCAATAAGATTATAAAGAACAATAACAGGAAAAGCTTGATAAATCCAAATACAAAGACTATATTTTTGTGGATGGATGGATGCATGCGTAAGTGTATGCATACATCTGTTAACATTAGATTTCCAAAAGGAATTTAAAGCACATCAACTGGAAAAGCATCCTCTAGACAATAAATCAAAATACTGGGACTGTGTTTTCCCTAAGGAAGAGAAATCCTAATCAAATTCAAATTTAGATTTCTTCCTAGAAATACTACAGCTCTTCCTGAGAGAACCTGTGGTAAAAACAAGTAAAATATTGTTAATAAATAAGATAACTAAAAACGCTATGCAAAATTCCTTTCCCTTTTAGCAAATTCTGAAAGCTCTTTGCAAAAAAAAAAAAAAAAAAAAAAACCCAAAAAACTGACAAAGGAAAGTCTGTCCCCTCCCCCATTTACTGCACATCTGACTGCCATAAAGACACGAAAAGGAAAGGGGGAGGGCATTTAATTCGAGAGTGGTATAAAGTCCAGCTACCACTTCCCTGCTGTTTCACAGCATTTCATTATTTTGCTTAATAAGTTCATCTCCTCAAGAATTTTCTCTTCACCTTATATTATTAAAAGTAATAAGTTTTTCTGGATTGGGGGTTTTCCCAACAGAAAAACCAATTTATGTATGTCCTTCAATAATGACAAGAAAAGATTATTTCCCATTATATTGCACACTTTTCATATCACCACCACAGCTTATCATTCAATAAATGTTACTCTGCAACTTGTTCCTATCCTCGAAGAAGTTTAATTTCTGTATTAACCTGTTTTTCCCAGCCAACGCCTTGCTAGAAAGGATCCCTACAGCAGCAAAATTAGTTTGTTAAAGAAACCATTTAGAAATCTCTTGTCGCAGATAATATTGTCTTCAGTTAATAAAAGCACACAAAGTCAGTTTACATCTAATTCTCTGACATACACAGACATAAGCACTCATTCTGAATAACACATTTTATACCATGAATACATTCTTTTAAAGCAAAAGGTGGATTCAACATTTGTATCCAATTATATGTACAAAGCTGTGCTGACGCCTCGCCTTTGCCACATGGCTCCTGCAAGCGGCACCTGTGTGGAGGCGAGTCACCTGGCCCAAGAGATCTGCCTCCAGTTGGCAGCAATGATGCTTCTGCAAAAGCAAGACTATGAGAGAGGCCAGAGCTGTTGTATGGCAGGCAGAGATGCAGATTGGGGAAGAGAGGAGTGAAAGCAGCCCAGGGATCCATACCAGCCTCATCCAGACAACAACAGAGAGTAGAAGGACACATGTAGTCTGTTGTGATGTGCTCCTCAAGCTCCAACAGCCACTGAAGCCATCTCAGCCTCTGTCCCACTGATCATCCCATGTCTCAGTATCACATCATCTGCTGATAGGAATGAACCTTAAGTTGGAAAGAATAGAAAGGTGGCCCAGAACTGGGGAGAGAGTCTTAGCTAAATGACACCTCCCTCCCTGAGGCTACAGGTAAGGGAAAAGCCCAATGCTGAGTACCTGCAGCAGATCTGGGTGGTGACACATTGAAACAGGTTGCTCAGATATGTTGTGGATGTCCCATCTGTAGAGGCATTCAAGGTCAGGCTTGATGTGGCTCTGGGCAGCCTGAGCTAGTGGTTGGCGACCCTGCCCACAGCTGGGGGATTGAAACAAGATGATCTTTGAAGTCTTTGTCAACCCAGGACATTCTATGATTCTATGATCTAAGAAGGAGCTCTGATTGTCTGCAGATATAGGAAATGGAAGGTGGCATAAGCCTTTCTGAATAACCTCCTCCTGTCTCTGCTCTAGCGACAGAATAGATGCACAGATGGTTCATAGACTCCTCTCTACTCCTCACCTCCCCGACCTCCCTTGACAGTGACTTGACTATCAGATAAAGGGTGCAATGTTCTCCCAGCCTGTCTTGCTTTCCCTCCATCTCAAACAAAAGGATCCAATTGGATCCTCTTGTTGCCTTTGAAACCTCCTCCAGCAAGGGAGAAATGAGCAGAATTTACTCTTTGGGTTGTCATAGCTAAGTCAGAAAATAGTCGTGTTCTCTGGATGAACCCTTGGTGGCTATATTATGGGAGTATGCCAATCACTGTCAGCTTGAGATCTGCCCCATCCTTGAGATGACCATTTAAATATCTTATATGGTAAAACAAAACTCAAAACTAAATGCATCATGTGATGTACCAAAATTGCATGAGGTTTTAGGGAATTAACTGACAGTTACTCAAGAGAGGAAAGGCAAAAGTGTGTTTTGGTTTTGGATTTTTTCTCTGTTTAAATTACTAGTAAACAGAAAGAGGCATACAACAGAGAAATCCCATTGCCCACTACCTATTGCTCTATAATCATGGAAACTAATATATGCAGCTTTACATATACTGTATTTTGAAAATTTTACAGTCTCATAATCTTCTGAGTAAACCTGTTTGGTTCGTTTTCAGAAGGGTCATGAGAATTACCTTAAAGCCAGTTTGCCAGTAGAATTCTTTAATGGCTCGCATCATGACTACTCCGACCGGAAGAGTCGCATTTTCCACTTCCTTTCCTGTAGATGTCTTTATAAAATCAGAACCTGAAAGGAAGTAAAGATCTTTATGGTGGTTTTAGAATGAGAACCACTGTGCATATGTGCACTTCACACCCTCCAAGGATGTCCTCATCCTTCGCAGCAATTACAAAGCATCCCTTTTACACATCCCTGTTGTCCATGTTAAAGTCCATGTTAACTTTGCACCTGCAAAGACTAAAGCAGGAAGGTGAGATACCCATCTGGTTTCAGAACAACTCAGACATCCCAGGGGCTAAATGAATACCTCAGATCTTAATTCTCTGCTCTAGAAATCACATCAACTATCCTTTCAATAAACTCCAGTATATTACAAGGGCTGCTCCAAAACTAATGCCTATTTTACTAAATTGACTCACAACATCAGAAACTGATGTTGGTGGTATGGCAGTAGAGGTTGAACCTTACCACCAATATTCTATTACATTTTGTTTCCGTCTGATAGATGGCAACAGAGGGGCAATCTAACAGAATGGCATCTGATACGGAAGTGCATATGAAGGAAAGATGTGTCACTTAATTCCTCCATGTGGAAAAAATGCCAGCCATTGACACTCATCGATGCTTGCTGAAATTTTATGGAAACCAAACAGCAGATGTGAGCACAATGAGGCAGTGGGAGGTGCCAAGTTCTGGACGGCCGCGCTAAGCTGTCACACCACGAAATGAAGAACACCTCTGTCAGCTTGTCTGTATGTAAATCTGTAGGTTACAACTGCAGAGTATGTTATTTATGTGCACGATTCAGCTTCAATGCACTGGAAACGATGGTGGCAATGTTGTAATATTGCAAAGTTTGCACCAGGTGGGTCTCATGAATGCTCAGCGAGGAATAGAAAGATCACCATATTAAGGTTTGTCAAGACCTACTGAACCAATACAAGGCTGAAGGTGATCACATCATTGCTGGTGATGAGAAGTGCTGTCATTACTATGAACCAGTGTCAAACTGGCAGTCCATGGAGTAGCCACACTGAATTCCTCATCAAAGAAAAACAAGATGCAACGTTCAGCAGATGAAGTGATGTGCACCATCTTCTGGGAAAGAAAAAGGGTAATCATTCTGGATTTCCTGGAACTTAGACAGATCGTCAATTCTGACCACTATACCGTGATGCTGACTAAGCTGAAGGCTCAAACTTCCAGAGTCAGGCCAGAGAACAAGATAACTTTACTCCTGAAACATGATAACACCAGGCCTAGAACTGGTTTGAAGACTGAGGAGCACATTGCCAGCCTTGGCTGGACTGTCCTACCACACTCGCTGTACAGTCCAGATTTGGCGCTCTGTGACTTTCATCTTCTCAGGTTGATGATAAAGATGGGCCATTTTCCTAGCAACGATATCATCACAGCAGCTGTGAAACAGTGGGTCACCTCTGCTGGTGCAAATTTTTATGAGCACAGAAAGCAGACTCTTGTTAATTGGTGGCAAAAACGCATAGTGAATGGTGGTGACTATGTTGAAAAAGAGTGCCTAGTAGCTGAGAATCTGCTGTATTGAATAGTGTTATTGTGCTCTTTGTGTCTGTTGTAGCTTCCATGGAAATAAACAGGAGGCATTATTTTTGGATCAACTTACATATATGTTCCTGAATGGACATACATTATATATGTGTGCTACATGTGTTACATATATGTAAAAGGAAGATAGCAGATTAACAAAAAAAAAAAAAAAGCCAATGATTTTCTCTGAACAAATTTTGCATATAAATCAATATTTTAATATTTCCACAAAGATCTTTCAGAATAGAAACAATTTTCATCAAGTTTTTAATACAACTTTTCATCAATTTGATCTCAGATTTGACAGTCTAATATCATATTTCAAATAGCTGTTTAAAGTGATAACAAAAAAATCCCGTGTGTGTTTAATGAAGCCCGCTGTATAATACCGTAAACAGGGAAACAACTCCTTTCTTATGCGCTTTGTAATTGTAACATTGCAAATTACAACATTTAATGCCATGGTCTGATATAATGCAGTAACAATATAAAAAGAAATGTGTTATTTAAAGAGGGAGAGTTAACCTTGACTCATTGTTTATTTCACGTTTTCTCACTTTTACACAACTTTCCTCACCGTCTGTTCTGAATACTTATGTAGTTTTCTTGTACCTTCCTGCTGTTCTGGGTGGGCTTAAAACAAATTCAGCAGTGCAGTATTACAAAAAGCTAAGAAACGAGCAAAAAGAATTGCTTTGCAGTGTCTGATCCTTCACTGACACAATGCAGTGACAAAAGTTCTTTAATTGCAATAGAGCATACTTCACCCCTGGGAACCTACTTCTTAGAAAAGGTGTACTGTGGGATCATTCATTATCAAAAGTAATCGTGAGGAGAAGAGGGCTAATTCAAACATAGCGTAGCAGTGCATCATCCACTTAAGTCAATTGGAACGGCATCTGCTTCCACTTCAGATTTGGCTTAGTCCATTTTGTCTCTTTTTTGAATGATGAAGCTTCTATGACATCCCCTAGAGTAAGAAAGGGAACTTTCATTGCTGGCTCAAAGTAAGGAGATGCCTTGACTACATTCTGACAGTATGCTGTAATATGCTCCAGATACCTGTCTTTCTGATGCAGGTTGGCATGCAGCTAGGTTTCAACCTGCTGGGAAGTTGAGACAAAACCATGCATGTTTCAGTGTCCTGCAATTTAAATGCAATCAAACTTCATCACTAACACTGCCTCCTATAAATCCGTGTTTGTTTTTATCTGCAGGTTTCCTGCCCAGGCAGTCAGTGGTGCTTAAGCTGCACCATGCTACAGCATTACCCATTCAAAACTGAAGTGACTACTCAGGGAACAAGTTCTAACTGCAAAGAAGTTGCAATACGAAAAAGAGGCAACTAGAAGTTGATTGAGTCTTGCAGGGAACTAAGCACGTATGAGAAATAGTTGAGTTATATATTTCAGAGCTATCCTCTGTCAGAGAGACAGTATGGACATCTGATAGTCACATTAAAACAAATAGTGGAAGTGAAACTTTAACAGTGCCAAATTATACTTTTAATTTCCCTTTTGAAATGCAGCACTTAAAGTTCTTCATTGCAATACTTTTCATTTTTTCTAGTATAAGGTAAGTCAAAGCTTTTATAAGTCTTATAATTACAAGTCTCTATGGTACAGTTTCATTAAAAACTTTCATTAAACAACAGCTGCCCTTGTATATGGTCTTCTAATCAATTTGGTCAAACAGAATGACTTCTAATCAGCTGTTGATAAAAATAGAAGATGAAATTTTAATTCTAATAGATTAACCACAAACTCAAGATAGTCTTCAGAATTCATCTAGCTCTATTCTCCAGTGGATTTAACGACTATTCAGCAACTCATTACTAAATAGAACAAGATGAACATTTTCCAGTTCATTAAAGAAATGTACTATGTATTTTTGCATTGTCCTCATGATTCGTTACAGGGAGTCTTAATTACAAGATAATGGATAATGGTTATTAAATGCAGACTCCAGTAATGAAGCTCTATTCATTTGCGAGCCTCAGAGACTGCAAAGAGGGGAAAATAAAATTACTAGCTTCAAAAGATTAACGAATCAAATTATTATTCAATTTTGAAAATCTCATTCAGACTTCACAGAAACAAGAAGAGATTAAAAACTAGTATTAGTACAAAAGTAGTGCATTTATATATTTATTTTTAAATAATATCTTAAGGCTATTACCAGAATAATCAGCTTTAGATGTGATTATTAGACAAACATAGAGCCAATTTAGTAGCATCCTCTACCAAAGAAAACAATATATTTTTATTTCCTGAACAAATTCTATTCATGATACAAGAGCTTCCATGCAGGACTCCAGGCAGCCTCTCACAGAATTCAGAAGATGCATACTACCAAAGCACTCTGCAACGTGTTATTAAAGTGGAGATTTCAGTAATGAAAAGGGGGATTTAAAAATCAACCGCTGCCATAAAAAGCACCTCATTAAGTAGAATTTATGCCAGCCTTGTAATAACAGAAGTGTTTCATCAATTCTATTTCTTATTCATGTTTTCAAAAACAAGTCTAAGGAATGAAGTTCAGTAGGAGTTTCATCTGGAAACTTAGGTGATGATTTAGAATCCCAAATTTATCACCCATCTTCCCATCTTCCTATGAATATATACATGCAAATATCCAGGCTGATGTTAAATTACCCCTTGGGTCACTTGTTGCTTTCTCCTTCATTTGGGTAGGTTACACAAAAGACTTACAAAATGAGTTTTTCCATATAGACTTGTAGGCCCAATGAGCCTGGAAAAGGGAACATTTTCACTCTTTTTAACATTGCAACTGCAAAAGTACATTTGCCTTTCAGTGAGTCAGGCACAATTCACTGAATCAGTGAAGAGTGCAGATATCAAATCTCCTATGCAACACAGCACATCAGATGCCTGTTTCGGCTGGGCTTGCTGTGAACCCAGGAACAGCACCAAGGCCCAAGCAAGCAAAAACTTCATCACCTCAATTTAAATGGAGACAGAAATTAGTATAAACCACAAGGAACGTGACCAGTGCAGTCTATACAGAGAAACTGAGTTCTCTACACAGTTGGGAGCCAGGCCACTTGAGCCATGATCACTGTGCCCTGTGACACTAGCTAGAATACTTCCAGATATTAAAACTCTGTTCCTCTGCTCTCTCACCCTACACACACACCTCAGCTACTGTAGGTCACTGAAGACCATTTAAACCAAGACAGCTGGATTTGCACATGCTGAAAGTAGTGGCTTAAGCATCTTGAACCCACACCTAGAGGTTAAGATGAAGCCCACTGTTTATCCCACATACTCATTAAGCCTTAAGCACCTGAGTGTAGGGAAAGACTTGCCCAAGTCAAGCAATTGGCAGGGCAAGAATTCAATGTCCTGTTCTCCTGAAGGTCAGAATTGAGCTGGCCATCCTACTGCTATCCCCTCCATCATATCAGAACATCACAAAGCTTCCCTGTCCCATGCAAAAATGAAGCAGAGCGTGAGAACCAAATAATGCCACTTAGCTGACAGCATCCAAGAAACATA